TTCCGAGAAACATGCAAAACGAGACGGAAAACATGAAATTTTGCAATAATCTTGCGCCACCCTTGCACAAAACGACGATCATTTTTCTAATTTCAAAAACAACAGAAGACTGTATTTTTTCTACATAACCCCCCACCCCTTGACTTTAAAGCTGGATCCACCCCTGAATGTGTCCCGCAACAGCTTTTTCAAATATTGCGTAAATTTTTTTTGACGATGAGTGATTTTCGATATTTTGACCGCATTTAGAGCGCACCCTTCTTTCCTGAACGCACAACTCTGATCTTGTGGAGTATTTTTCGTTTTTGAGAAATTTATTTTTGAAAAACGCAATGCAAAATGTGTCCTGCAACAGTTTTTTCAAATCCTGCACACAATTTTCCTAACGATGAGTGAACACAATTTTTTACTGAACTTGTAGAGTAGTTTTCGTTAAAACTCATTGGGCCTCACTGTGCCGCCCTTTGAGTTACGCTTGGCATTTCGCCCAGGGACGCATTAAAGCTTTACGAGGCCGGGGGCTTGAACTTCAAGACCGTAAAACAAAAAAGGTCACCACATTTTTTAGGAGCAACATTTTACCAAATGGGTGACTCCAGCGCAACAGCGCTGGGTTGGCGCACTAGGCCATTTCGGCACCACTGCGCCAACTCCAGAAAATTCACTGAGTTCCCCATGCCTACTAGACGAAACAACTCTAAACCGCACAAAACAAATCAATTTGGTTGCATCTATTTGCATATTGTTTTAATCAATAATTCATCTTTTAACCAAGACTTAATCACTTGTTTACAGTCGGAAACATTGAGGGTTTCCAAATCCTACAACCTACACAGTACCCTTTAAACAGCTGTTTTCTAAATCAAATATACCACAGGAAGACTGCACGTATGAGAAACCGATAAATTTCCAAAGCGGAACAATAGAAAGTGACCATTTTAAAGTACATATCGGCTATCGAATTGGGAAAATGTGTTTCAGACGGACGAAAATCCTCGTTCGATTGGCAGCACGACTCCAGAAATCCGGATATAATACCAGACGAACTGAAGCTCCGTCCGCCTCGTTGCGAAAAGGCGAAAAAGTGCATGAGGCTCTCAATATGAATGACTAAGCAGCCCACAAAGCCCCTGCAGATAAAGTGACAATCGCAGAAATCCTCGAATTTGTTGCCGAGATACGAAACAGCCGGAAATACCCTCTGATCTCCGGTCTGAAATTATCTCTATATTGCTTCCTAAAACACTGCTGAATGTGAAATGTTTCGGTCATTTATGAACTCGACTTTAAAAGCGATGTTATTTTTACATTATTAGTATGCAGTCGTCTGCCATGATCATTTTGCACAAGTTAAGCGAATTATTAGACGCCAGATTTTTTTCGACTTTTTTTTTAACGCGATATTACATATTCAAAATGTTCTTATTTTACTACGCAATATTCGTAGTCATTGTCAAGATTATTCCCCGTGGGATTTTGGATCAGGATCCCGATTCGACGGCTCATTGTTAAACCGAATATTCGAATGTGATCCGTTCGTTTCGCATTTCCATAAGAAGGCCAAGGTGTATGGCAGGGGGTTTTTCCGGCTACAGGAAAAACTATTAAATTTTAGCTAAAGTCGGAAGCTTTTAATACACGCAAAGTATTAAAGGCTGTAATAATGGCAAAATAATTAAAAACCTTGTTGATTATTTCTGCTGGAATTATAAATTTCCAGGAGCGCTTCTAGTTATTAACACACTAATGAATTTCATTTTGTCGCTGTTCATCTGTTGATTACACAGCCTTTTTTTCAACCTCATCTGGTTTTGAATAGACACAATGCATTTTCATCGCCACTATTCAAACCTTCATCATGTTTTGATGACTGTTGCAACGTTTTATACCTAACTCTAAGCTAGTTTTTTTTATTAAATGGATTCTTGTAACTTGTGTCTTCATTTAGTTTACAGTAGAAGGGAATTTCAACAGAATTTTAAATCAATTTTAACTTTCAAACAACTTTCAGCATTGAGACGTAAGTTCGGGTTTTCTTGCAACGGGAATGTTTTATAATAATTGCAAATACGATTTAACCATCTTTTGTCGCGAATTTACTACAGTGCTCAAAATGATATTATTTTCATAAATTTAATAAGAGCTCAAAGTGCGCTTTCAAAAATGTATTGCCCCAAATATAAATAACTGCCACTGCAAATTCAGAGCGGAATTATTGAATACGCAATTATGTGGGAGAAACCCGTTAAGAAAATATTGCGAAACTAATTTTCAGAGTTCTGGCTTCAAACGGTTCCAGTCCTTTTAAGGAACAAATTTTGGGTTGTGTTTATAAGAACTTGTTTTATTATTGCAATCTCTGGAATCATTTTCGGAAATATGTTGAAGCTATTTTGCGACACTCTGTATATAGTCTGTAATTTTGTCTTTAACAAGCCCTTACAAGGAAAAGTTACGAGGAGTTCAATCTGCTAATGACACTGGCTATTTCGTAATCTCCAAACTATCTCATCAAAGAGAGTTCACTTAAGAGAAACAGCTACTCTTCACTGAATTGTTTTAGTCGTTGCCAAAACCAATCTATTTTCATATCATTCTGGATGCAGATTTATTTTTATTATGCATGATTTAGAACTGTCGGCCTCTTTGTAAAATCTGGATATTAAAATGAATTTTTTTTATTAAAATTAATTTAAATGTTTCTAATAATATGCTCTCAGGTGGATTTTAGTGAAACTTGTGGATTTGTTCCTACGTCAGAACCATATTTTGCTAAATAGTCGAAATATTTTATTGCACAAAAACTACGATTGCTACCAGATTTTACAAAGAGCCAAAAAATGTTCAGAAAAGATTGGTCGATGAACTCAAAAAAATTCAGTTGATTTCAGCTACCAAATAAAAAGTTCTGACAGTTTTTGCACCAGGAATGTCTCACTTGCCCAACGCGGCTAAGGTAACGATGACTTCATAAAGAACGAAAATTCGTTCGTAACTCAAAATGAAATAAAATTAGGCATCCTGGCGATTCCTGATAAAAAATTCTTGTTCCATCTTTCATAAGCATCCTACATTGGGATCGAATCTAATGTTTTCCATCCAATACCGTGTTTTACTTAAATCGAATTTCCGAGTCAATTTTTGGCATATTCAAAGCAAGTTTTAGGCCGAACTGTGAGTTTTTATGGACGAATTGTGAATATAGAACCTTACCTGTAGAAATAAATCAAGATATCAGCTTTGTCGCTATCCACCTCCGTAAAAGTCAGTTTCGAGTGCTTGGACCAGACGGCCAGAGCTTTCGATATGACGAATCTGACTTCGTACGGATCCAGTCCATCTGCTAATTGCTTTGTTCTCAAGCTAGAACAAAAATCAGCGTTAATTCACTAAGAAATCCAAATCCCTCCGTAAATAATTAACACAAAATCACTGTTCTTAGACGTGAATTAACCCCTTGATCGGCCAATATTTATCAAACGAACTCAAGATCAATAAAACGTACAAAGTTAGGCGTCACGCCAGCCTCTTAATAGACTTCCATATTAAACTAAATTCGTATCATAAGATCATTTAACTTGGAGTTAAATTAACTCGGGTATAGCGTCAGTTAATGTAATTGACAACTATGTGCCCCTATACAATGTAATTAAATCGAAGAAGCTTTGCCTTATTCACAGATTGAGCATGTAAAGGCTGGATGAAGTTCGAAATTGCTTATTTATCTTTTGTCGTTAATTTATAATCGAATTTAAGTTCCGTTTGTCTGTCTGGTTCATTGAATTGAAATGAACCAAGGATTATAACTGACTGAAGGTTTCCTTTTGGCTCTGGATCCCGTAGATGTTGACTCAACTCAATCGCTCACTCAAGGAGGTTGTGATGGATTGAAATACACATCACACCCAGGTTGAGTGAGTTATCGAATGGGCCTTATTCGGAAACGAAAATTGCTAAAAACAATTAAAAAAAGTTACTTTCAACCGAAAATGATTTAGAACGAACGTCTATTTCTAAGTGCGCTCTTTCCAACTTGTCGACTCCAATTAGCCGAAACAGATTTTCTGTATAACCCAATAAAAGCTTCAGCAGACCCATCAATCCGCGTTATTTTAAAGGTCACATTTATCAGCACCCAAAAGGCTCAAGTTTGACCTGGGCCTGTCCTGACTCATTTTAGCAAGTGTAGTTGCGATTCTCAACTGCCACTAGACAATGCTAAGTGTGGCAGAACAGTGGTTTTTGTGCGGTATAAAAAGCGGATTTTTGATGAGGATTTGGGTGGAAAAGTTCACGATTTTGTGCTAGAAGTGCTGCATAATTAGCATGGAAAGTTCGGGTTTGTTGCCCAGAGAAGTTGAATGAATTCGGACTTTTACTTTTAAACGAAATGGTCAAATAACAGAATCCCGAAAAAGTATAAGGGATTTACAATCGGAGCTTATTGGGTTCAAGAAAGTTAGTCACGCAAACGCTATCTATCAGAATCTCCTTTAACAAAAAATAGTTTCTGGAATTGCCTAACATTAATGTTAAAAAATGTCACTGCAAAATTCTGCAGTGACTATCGATCCTTGGCCCACCCTGTAAATTAAAATTGAAACATCTGATTTTACCAATATTTACGGGGCTCATTTTCGATGCTTTTAAAGTGTTCACACAATTCAATTTGGCTGAAAATCCCAACTTTGCCCGGTTCATTTAGTCCCTCATTCCGTAATCCCAATAATCCACTTCGAGATGATCCGAGCTCAATGTTGAATTTTTCATAAACTTCCTCATTAAATGCATGGTATGCGAGAATGTGATGCTTCGGCCCTGAAGCATTTTGATTGGCGAATGACCCACATTTAACCACACATTCCGCAAATTGAATACGTAATTCTCCTAGTTGAGATCAACATATTTAGTGATGCAGCACATTATTCACTTTTAATGAATGAAAAAGTCGACGTCATCGGGATGAAAGTAGAGCATCTTGAAAATCAGCAGAAGTTGGAATGTTTCTTTGTTTCTCTTCTTTCTTGTGGTGGCTTCAAAAGTGTGTTTATAAGTGAAAATCTCTTTCAATTTTCGTCAAGTGGATTTTCGTTTCTAGTCAATATTTATCAATTTTAAAACTCTCTTTAAATACTGTATAGCAATAGGAAATATCTCAAACATGTTTCGATTGCAACCCTTTAGTTCCATTCACAATTTGCTGCATGATTCAATTGGTCCTCACCTAAGGCGAGCTGTTAAAAGCCGGATTCCCAAGAATTGCCGAATATACAAACATAGTGAATAGACGATGGAAAATTGACGGAAATTGCGAGGAAAATAAAATGATTTTGTATTTCCTGATTATTCGAAGCGTATGGGCGCGAAAGAGGGGGCGGTTCTGCAAATAAGAGTGTTTGCCGATAACAAAAATCAACAACCGAAACGATGACTTTTTGAACTGAAATTTTTTTTTGCAGACACCATAGGTTCATTCCATAGAACGCAGCTAAATTAACTGAATTATTGACACCAAACTGTTTATTTGAGCAAAATTTTACAGCGCTAGTTTTCGATTAAAGTATCCTATTTTTACACCAAACACAAATTATAAATTGCGTTTCTTATAAACACTTTTTTATCCGAAATCTAACACGCGAAATATCATTTCAACCCATATTAGTTTCGTCTTTTGTTAGCAGTCTCTCTTGCACGTGTTGGAATCCCTTCACACTCTGCAGTACGCAGTTGCAATAAAAGGATTAAAAAAAAGTTAATTCTGACCAAAAATTTGTTTATTTTTATTAATCAATTATTCCATTTAGGCGCCGATCTGATTCTGTTTAATTCCGTCATAATTACTTTATATTCAAATTCTCGTCCTTTTTCTTCGAATATTAATATTCGAAACTACCCAATTATTCCACGAATTTCCTTCAGAGTCACGGACTAGTAATTTTTCAACCCTTCTGACTGTTGGCCAAAGTTTACAATTCATTATTCACAATGCTGCCTGAAGTGAAATTTTTACAAAGCGATATCGATTTTGCCGATCGTGAATACAAAAATAAAGTTCTAATCTTTGTCAAGTTGGTATGAGAGCCCGCATTATTGCGCGGTTTCCTCTCGGTTAATAAACATTTATTAAGACTCCGAATAAGCCAGTAAATCTTCATGAAAATTCTTTAATAGGCGTCGATTATCGCGAGTTAATAATGATCATAAAAATGTTCACAGCATTTAAATTATTAATGCAAAATGTTCATTAATAAAATGCATACAAATGGAAGCATACAAAGAAAAATTTGAAGTTGAGTATTTTATTTGTTACATTTCCAAAAGGTGCAATTCCGGTTATTATTTATGGAGCAGACGATTAATATTTCAACACCAAGTTGCTTTTATTTCTCTAATTTAATAATTTTTTCCTCATTTGCTTTATTGTAGGGTGATTGCAAATTGAAATTGATCGGTTCAAAATTGGCCAATTTATCACATGAATAAGTTATGTGTAAGAATGTAAGTGTTAAAATGTTCCTTGTCAATTTCCTAAATTCGTTTTTGCCAGAAAATTGAATACATTTGAATCTCACGCTTAACAGCTGAAACATTTCTAGAAAAATTGAATTCTAGAAAAACTCACCTTCTTGTAAGGGGCAGGATTATATCAATATTGTATACATTTAAAAGCTGTATTGGTGGGTAAATATCAACTATTTTTATCACTGATAGTTAACTAGGGTATTTTTACAGGTTTTATTTTTAAACGTACAATTAGTGTGTTACACTGTTTTATCCAATAGACAATTTATCTTAACGTTAACTTGGACGTTTGTTTAGAATGTGCGTAGAAATTGTAAGCAATTTCCTATATATCGCAATTTATCGTCGAATTTCACTCGATGAAAGGTACATGAAAGGTTTCCTCGTTGGAAACCAGCGCGTGATAACAAAACCTGGCTCGATTTCTTTCCTCAATACTTTAAATTAATAATTTGGGGCAAATTGTGTCGAAATTGACGTGAAAATTAATTGTCTTTTTAAAAAGTTTTTAACGAAACGAAAGAAAAATTTGCAAAGTTGCGTTGCTGGTGGAACTCAAAAGTGGGCTAAAAAAATAGAAGTAATCAAAAGTAATAGGATTTTTTTATGTAAAATCTAACTCAAACTAAACTTCTTGTCGATCAATTATAAATTCGCAAACTCCTGAAAATCAACAACTTCTTCGGGCAAGGCAAAAATCAGTTCAATACTTACACGACGACACATCAATATCAGGCACATTTCACCGAAAACTTTTGAAACAACACGATCTCCAACACTCGATAACTGTGGCTGCAGAGTTAGCGGACCTTTTCTGTCCAGGATTCTCACGCTTCAAATGTCCCAACGTTTCCCAACTCTCAACTTTATATAAGTTTCCAGATGCGAGTGCGTGCGCAGAGAATTGATGAGAAGCCACCCCCTTTGGAGTTAGTGGAAGGCGTGTTTTTTATTATTTATCGGAATAAGTGTATAGTTAATATGGCAGGGTGTTAGTGGAACAGAGAAATGATGTGTAATTGTTAGGGGAAAAAAGTTCTTCACTAGACAGGGCTACTAGAATATCCAGTTTTAAGGTGAACAATGAGGTTGATAAGACACAAGTTTTAATACAGCATAGGCCAAAAGGCCTTCAAACAGATCCAAAGTAAACCACGAAAAAACGGGTTAATAAACTGCATCAGCTCGCTGTTTAGTTGTTCCAAGACATCAACATTGGATGCAAACAGTATGACGCAACAATTTGGTTAAATAGGCCTTAATTAGACCGACGACCGATTCGTTTTTCATTAGAGTACACATGTGATTGGTGGCTGCTTGTTCTGATATGCGTTTTTCGTTTTATTTCTTTTCAATGATCAATTAAGTGCTTCAAATGACTGCAGTGTGGCTACCAGATGTACTTCGTATATAATCTGGATTAGATTCGATTAATCAAAAACAGGGTTTTTGCGCTCTTTTTATGCAAGTTCTTCCAGATTTCAGAAATAACGTTTACTCTTTTTTAAACGGCAATTGAGATTTTTAATGATTATGGTTAAAAAATTGTGGTTCTTGCAACTCCTCAATGCCAAAAACGTACAAATATCCGCATAAGAAATGGTCTAGATGAGTCAAATCCGGAGACCTGGGAGGCCTTTCCACGGGCCCTCGTCTACAAATCCACCGTGCTGGAAATAATTCAACCAAGTGTACAAAATGAGAAGAGTTGAAACCAGATGTTTTTATTCGGGACATCAACTTCATCTGGATCAGACGAGCAGCGCAATTTGCAACTAGTTCTTCCTGCAAGAATTCTATAGTTCCGCTCAAATATTCACCTTTCTGGATGTTGAATGTGT